CTAAAAGAAAATCTAATTCTAAGGGACATATGGAGAAACAAGGTTTGACCAAGCCATGGATGACGCCAAATCGAAACCTTCATGGCCATTTAAGCATTCTTTGTGTTGGCCAAACTGGGACTATGCATCCACCATTTTCATTCTACACAAACACATGAAAACAAGTTAAATCCTACTAAAACAATTCACTTATTCAACATTTTACCCTTTGAAAGCTTTATCAAACATATAGAAAACATGAAAACATAACTAGAAACAAAAACAAACAAGCATGAAATGTCAACTTCTTAGCCAAGAAACAAGTTGGAAGTCTCGACCAAGCAATGAGGATGCTAGGTTGAGAGCTTCCCATAGCCCATCCATAATCATTCCATCATTTCCTTTAACTAAGATGTGCATCAAACACTTAGTAAAGTATCTTGTAAAGGTCTTTTATTAGTAAAGGATTTTCATCAAACATGTAAGAAACTATTAAGAAGAAAAATGCCAGAAACATTCATACATGCCAAACAACAGCATAGCTCATCAAAGTAAGTAGAATATCATAAAAATAACCATTAATACAACCACATTTACAACATAATATATCAATCTGAGCAAGCAAAACACAAGACGCAACCAAGGGAAGGTTTGGCCAAGCTATAGAAAAGCATGGCCAAAACTTTATGGTGGATTGTGGATGATTTTTTATTCTCTTTACTTCAAACCATACCATTGCTTTGGTTGGTTAAATTTATTGAATCAAATATAGAAAATGGAAGAAAACAACTATGAAAAGAGTTGTTTCTTCTTGAAAAATCAAAAAATTAAAAGAAAACTATATGGATAAATATGGAATTTGCATGAAAATGCATCGAAATAAGGAGAAAATTATACCTTCCAAGCTCTCTTGAATTTTTTCTTTTTGTTCTTTTTTGTTGCCATTTGTGCCACTTTCTCCTTATTGCCTTCTCTCTATTTCCAGCCTTTTATAATGAATTTCAATGCCATGCAAAAGTCTTTTAACCTTTTAATCAATTTTACATCTAATGGCTAGCATAGTCTTTCTGTTTCTCTTCAAGCCTAATGATCAAGCAACCACCTTTAAACCTAAGATTTAAACACTTGAAAGATCAATGGCTCAGAATCGATACATCACAAAATTAAACCTTTATTACAACTATTTAAAAAAAAAAAAACTATTTTACCCCTACTAATATTCTTCACCCTTTTGCATGATTTTCTTAAAGGCCTATGATCCCATCTTTTTTTCATGATTTTAATACACCAAGAATCGTAAAATAATATTTAATCATGATCTGAAATTTTTTAGAAAAAACCAACCTTAATAAGATCAAATTACTAAAATACTCATAAAAGGTATTTTTGTAATTTCAACCCTTTCAAGGTACGATCAATGTTTTTAATGCATGAAAAATCATGAAATAATATCAAAACATGATTTAAAATTTTTCACAAAAAATCAACCTTGGAAAGGCTGAATTACAAAAAAAAAAAAATCCTAAAAGGCATTTTGGTAATTTCAATCATTTCGAGGTGTGATCAAGGTTTTTAACGCATCAAAAATCATGAAATAATATAAACATATGATCAAGAGCTTTTCGCGAAAAACTAACATTGGAAAGTCTGAATTACAAAAGTACCCTTAAATGGCATTTTGGTAATTTTAATCCTTTGATGTGTGATCATGGTTTTTAATACATCAAAATTCATGAAATAATATCAAAATATGATCTAGAATTTTTTCAAAAAAAAAAATGATCTCAAAAAGATCAAATTATGAAAATAACTACAAAAGTATTTTGTTAATTTTACCCAATCTGAGTTGCAATTATAGCTTTCAATGCATCAAAATTGCAATTTTGTAAATCCTAAGCTTTAACAGTCCTACTCAATCGTGAATTCTAAGGATTGACCTAAGCTCGACCAAATTTGACTGGATTTACTAAGTTTGACTTTGTTTGACTATGATTGACCAACTTTGACCATAGGGCATTCAGGTTAACTTGATCTAAAATTCAGATTTGAATATTTGTCAATCTTAAGAAAATGTTGTTCATGAACTAGGCATGACATTAAAAGGCATAAGAACTAGCTAGAATTTGCCTAGAAAAAATTAAGTGTCTACAATTGGTTATAAGTGATGCCGATTGGTTAGATTGCCATAATCTGTCTTATTTTATATTTTAGAAAATTAATTAATTTATTAATTAATCCAAATATAAAATTTGATATTTACAATTTAACACTTGTATTTTTAAAAAACTTTTATCTGACATGATAAAATAAAATACTTTTAGGGCATTTAGTTTGGAAGAAAGTCAGATTTTTGGTTCACGAGATGTGTTTCTTGAGATTTTTTAAATTTTCTAATAATGTCAAAAAAGGAGAAAGTAAGGGGAAAAAATTTCTCTTCCTCCTATGGTTTTTTTAGATTCTAGAAGGAAAGTAAAAGTTTTGCCTCATTTACCTTAACTTAATTGCATTTTCAAACTATATTATCCTTTCTAGTCTCTTAAAATTTCAATAGATAAGGTGCAATAATGTATTTTATTTGTCAATGATATAGTCTTAATTGTTTAAACTAATGATGGTCTTAATGTAAAATTAGAATTATGGAGATGTACACTAGAGTCTTGAGACTTTAAATTGAGTAAATCTAAAATTGAATATATGAAATGTAAGTTTAGTAGTCATAGGGAAGGGAGTACTAGTGTGATTAAGTTGGATCATAAGGTAGTAACAAAGTGTAGTCATTCTCGATATTTAAGATCAATTATCGCAAGTAATGTTGAAATAAAAAGATATGTAAATCATAAGATTCAAACAAGATGAGTGAGGTAGCGAAATGTGTCAAGTGTGTTGTGTGATCGTAACATGCCTTTAGAGTTAAATGCGAAGTTGTATATAACAAATATAAGACATGTATTGTTATATGAAACTAAATGTTGGGCCACTAAAAAATAACATTAGAAGAAAATAGAAGTAGCTAAGATGAGGATGTTTAGATGAGCGTGTCATAAGACTAGAAGAGACAACATAAGAAATAAAGAGATTTAAGAAAAATTAAAGATAATTTGAATTGAAAAAAAGATGAGAAATGATTTTTTAAGATGATTTGGACATATAAAACTTAGGCACATCTGTGCAAAAGTTAGGAAAATGAGCTTTTGATTTACAAGAGACCAAAACTTCTAGAGGTAAACTATAAAAGATATGGATGTAATTAATAAGAAATAATATAAGGGTTAAAGAAGTTGATGAAAAAGTCATTTTTTATGGAAATGAATAACGCAAAAATATTCGAAACTATGACTTAACATGATTTTCTTTTTGGCTTTCATACAATCGATCATAGAGTTATGAAATATAAAACTTGGTTTGTTGTTGTTGTATAATTTCAACAAGTATTGCTTTTTAAGATAAAAAAAGTAATGAATATTGAAACAATATTTTCAAATTTATGAAATTTTAACAAAGATCGCGTTTTTAAAATAAAAAATATAGTTGATGTTGAAACCTTATTTTTGAAATTCTAGAATTTTAACAAATATTGCATTTTTAAAATAAAACAATGTAGTGGATATTGAAACTTTATTTTCAAAATTTTAAAAATTTAACAAAAATCTCATTTTTAAAATAAAAAACGTAATGGATATTGAAACTATATTTTCAAAATTTTAAAATTTTAATAAAGATCGTGTTTTTAAGATAAGAAACACATTGGATGTTGAAATTATATTTTTAAAAATTTGACATTTTAACAAAAATCGTATTTTTAAGATAAGAAACATAGTGGATATCAAAACTTTTATTTTTGAAATTCTGAAATGTTAACAAAGATAATGTTTTAAGTTTAAAAAAAAAAGGTAGTGGATTTAACTAATCATAATAAAGTTAAAATAAAACGTAAAATATATTTACTTAATATTATTACATATAAAATCTAAAATATATATTTTTAATATTATTATTTATAAAATTTGTTCCAAGGGTGGAAATCTCTAGAAGGGGATTTACCACTCCCACTTCTAACTCTCACGTCGACCTTACCGCACAATTCAATATGCTTATTTTCTCTATGTAGAAACAATCAACATAAGATTAGTAATTAATATTGTAAAATTATATTTATTGAAAATATGAATTTATTTTTCAAATTTCTTTAATTTTAATAAAAATAACACGTTATTTAAGTGTAATATGTTATAAATGTGACATGTTATTCATGTATAATTAAGAATAATATAGTAAAAAACTTTATTATGTAATCTTCCATTCTTCTAAATCAAAAATAAAAATTTTACATTTTCTAAGTTAACAAATTTCTAAAAATTATATATCCTCCTTCAATATCATTTTCTCTCAAAATTTAAAAATCTACTAAACTAAATTCCCCTTAAAAATTAAATAAAATGAAATGACGGTTGTTTTTTAATTTTTCGAAAACTAACATATTGGCAGTTCCATATTTTAGCCCTTGGTTTGGATGTAATCATACCCCTTATTTGGTTCAATTACTAATCACCACTTTAGTTTTTTTTTTTTCGCTTCAATTTTTATTGTTAAACCAAAAGTATAAACTTTTTTATTTTTTATTATTAATTTATTAATTAAAATTTATTATTATGTAATAAACTAATGATTAAATAAATTTTATTTTTATTTTTATTATTAATTATTTATTAACAAAACTATTATTTGACATAAAAATAATTTAATAAAGTTTTAATTATTTATTAATTTATAAATAGTAAATAATTTAAAATTTTTATTCTAATGTCGTTAAAAATTATTATATTTTTTCACTATAATTCACTTCATTTCAATTGCCACTTTTATTTTTAAATATATATTTATTATTAATTTTAATTTTATTATTATAATAATTAATTTCATTTTCATTACTGCTTTTAATATTATCAAAAATCAATCTAATTTTATTCATATAAAATATAAATTAATTAATTTTCAATTTTATCGAATCAATCTCACCCGTCCAAACGAAGCATAAGTGAGTTAACCAAGAAAAAAAAAGGATAAGAAAACTCTAGTGCTAGAATAATGGATGATTTATCTCAAATTGCTTTCCTTCCATTTATGAGTTATAGAAGTTTGGGGAAAAAAAATCCTTTCCCAATTAAATTTGTAGTAGAGAAGATGATGATTTGACAATGATATTATTGGACGCGTGCTAAGGAAAGCTCCACTGAAAACGGCCGATCATTTAAAATTTGTTGCATTCTTTAAACTGAAACTTTCCAAGTAAAAATACGGCCAATACTTCCTTGCGGTCCCCCGGTCCTTCCCAAATGGCAGCAACTCCGAACAAAATTCCATCAATAAAACCTGCAAGCTTTGCTCAATTCCGTCAATGGGTCTCTCTCAAAAGCAGTAGATCTTCTTCATTGAAAATCCCCCCAAACCGACAACAAGGCCAAGTTGAGAACGTACACTTGGTTTCTTTATCTAAACAAAGGAAACTCAAAGAAGCTCTTGACTTCCTCAAACAAATGGAGGAAGCCGACGTTCCGGTCAACCCCCACTCCTATAAATCCCTTCTTGACACCTGTAGCAAAATGAAATCTTTGTCAGATGGTAGATTGATTCACGACCGTTTGCTAAGGACAATGGAGAACCCATCTGGGTTTCTCGAGAATTGTCTCTTGCAGATGTACTGTGACTGTGAGAGCTTTTGGGATGCGGAGAAACTGTTTGATGAAATGGTTGAAAAAAATCTAGCGTCTTGGGTTATTCTTATTTCTGCTTACTCACAAAAAGGTCATTTGAAGAAATCTTTCGGGTTATATTCACAAATGATTGAGTTGGGAATTACACCGAATTCAACTATTTTTACCAGCCTCTTGAAGAGTTTATTAGATCCTTCTACTTTGGAGATTGGGAAACAGGTGCATTCTCTCGTTATAAGAACTGGGGTAAGCACCAATGTTTCTGTCATCACAGCAGTTTCCAATATGTACGTGAAATGTGGGTGGTTAGAAGGGGCTAAGCTCGTTTTTGATCACATGGTTGAAAAGAATGCCGTAGCTTGGACGGTATTGATAATGGGGTATACCCAAGCTGACAAACAGATATATGCTTTGGAATTGTTTAATGGAATGGTAAAGGAAGGTGTTGAATTGGATGAGTTTGTATTTTCTATTGTCCTTAAAGCGTGTGCTGGATTGAAGGATTTGAACTTAGGGAGGCAAATTCATGGTTATATTGTTAAATTTGGGTTGGAATCTGAGGTTTCTGTTGGAACCTCTGTTGTGAGTTTATATGTCAAATGTGCATGTTTTGAATCTGCTTGTCAAGCATTTGAAAGGATAGCTGAACCGAATGATGTTTCATGGAGTGCTATAATCACTGGCTACTGCCAAATTGGTAAATTTGAGAAATCACTGAAGATTTTTAACTCATTAAGGATTAAAGATGTGGTTTTGAATTCATTTGTATATACTAGCATTTTCCAAGCATGTTCTGCTCTTGCAGATTTTAACATGGGTGCCCAAGCTCATGCAGATGCAATAAAAAAAGGTTTAGTTTCATGTCTTTACGGAGAGAGCGCAATGATTACTTTGTATGCAAAATGTGGTAGATTGGACTATGCAAATCGAGCCTTTGAGTCTATAGGTGATCCTGATACTGTGGCTTGGACCGCAATAATTTGTGCTCATGCTTATCATGGCAATGCTTCTGAAGCCCTAAGGCTTTTCAGAAGGATGCAGGACTCTGGTGCAAGGCCAAATGAAGTTACATTTGTGGCGGTTTTAACTGCATGTAGTCATTCTGGTTTGATTACAGAAGCTAAGCTGTGTTTGGAGTCAATGAGTTGTGAATATGGTGTGGAACCAACTGTTGATCATTATGATTGTATGATTGATATATACTCTCGTGCTGGGCTGCTTCAGAAGGCATATAAACTGATAAAGAATATGCCCTTTGAACCTGATTCAATGAGTTGGAAATGCTTACTGGGTGGATGTTGGATCCACAGAAATCTTGAACTTGGAAAAGTGGCAGCAGAAAATCTACTTCAGCTGAATCCAGATGATACTGCAGGTTATATTTTGATGTTTAACGTATATGCTTCATCTGGGAAATGGGACGAAGCGGCTGATATAAGAAGTATGATGGGTGCAAGAAAGTTGAAAAAGGAACTTAGTTGCAGTTGGATTACTGTCAAGGGTAAGGTGCATCGATTTTTAGTGGGTGATAAACACCATCCTCAGACAGAGGAAATCTATGGAAAGTTGAAAGAATTAAACCATTCTGTTTTGAAGGGTGAAAGTGTCCTTCTAACTGAAGAGGATGTATCATTTGGTTTGCCTGAGCGGAAGGACCAGCTTATGGACCACAGTGAGAGACTTGCCATAGCATTTGGGCTCATATCCGTACCAAGCAATGCTCCTATAATTGTTTTCAAGAATCTCCGGGCATGTAAAGACTGCCATGATTTTGCAAAACATGTATCCATGGTTACAGGCCGCAAAATCACTGTTAGAGATTCCTGCAGATTCCATCACTTCCATTTAGGGCAATGCTCTTGCAATGACTATTGGTGATTCTTGCAACTTTTCTGCCACGAGGTAGGGTGATTACCGTTTACAATTGTTCTATTTTAGTTGTATCTTTATGTACTTGTTTGGAACAGAGATTTAAATTGAGTTCGAAAATGCGTTTTGAGTTGCGTTTGTATTGTGGTTGCAGATATAATGAAAACCATTTCGATTATTGTGGTCGTAAATTTTTTTATAATTTATCTCAATATAGTAATTATAATTATAATTATAAAAATTTTTAATTTATGCTTTTAAAAATAGTTTACGACACTTCACGTCTTTTATTTACTTAAAAAGAAATTAATTACTTTCTAAAAAATGAAATTAATTACAATTCTTTGAAATATAATAAAAATATTCATATTAAAAAATTACTTATGATAATTAAAGAATAAAAAATATTGAGATAAATTACAATACCAAAGGCAAAAGAAAAAGAATGAAAAAGTAATAAAAATTAAAGTATAAAATCATATATTAACAAATAATAAAACACTCATTCAATATGTTTCTTTGTCTTTAAAACGTGAACGGGTCAACAACAGCAAATTTTTCATTTTTTCTTCTTCTACTTCTCTTTTTCTCTAAACTCATCCTTTAACTGATAATTCTATAATTTTATAAAATTATCAGTCTCTCATGGTCTTTTATGATGAATTTTTGCTTAATTTTCAAGAAAATATGAAAAAATACTCCCAATTAGATAAATTTCTCTTTTGTAGGTATTTTTAGCAATTTTGGAGCGAAAAGGAAGATTTTAGATAATTTAGAGGAAAATTGATGTAATTTGCAGGAAGTTTTGTATCAAAGGCCGATCATAGGGCTTAATGGATCCCATCGCCAATTTGGATGATTTTTTAGTTTAAATTGGATTGAGTTTATGTGCATTTGAGCTAAGTTAGTTTCTTTTACGTCATGTTTTAATTGCTTAATTTATCTTTTTTTTATTCCTTGAGCTAATTAAATTTAGTTAAGTCTTGTAGGGGATTGCATTGAAATCCAAGGAAGAGAGTAGTAATTAATAGCGGGTTCAAGGCATTTTGGAAGAAATGAGTTGAATTTTAGAGGGAATTTTACGTTGGCATTTTGAAAACATATTATTGGCTGCCATTTATCTCACTTAAATTAGGAATGACAACTAAGCGGATATCCATCATTTTTTAGATATCTATATCCGAATCTATTTAATATTTATCATATCTGTATTTATTTAAATATCAGTTTAATTTTAATATCATTATCCAAATTCGTTTTCGTTTAAATAAGCATTATTTGTTTAAATATATATATATATACGTTAAAATATCTGTTTATTTAATTTTTTTATCAAAATATAAAATAAATAAAAATTTAATTTAAAATTCAAATTCACTCTTAATTAATAATAAATTAAAGTTCCTTTTTAAGCTTTAAAATCATTTACAAGTATAAAATTTTGTATATTTTACATATGTAAATGACTAACAAATTCAGATACACATTTGAATATTCATTGTTCACTAAAACTTAAAGAAATTTAGATATTAAATATCCAAAAGATATTATTTGTGTCTACTTCAAATTTGTGAACGAATAGAATAATAATAGATATCTATTTATTTATTATCCGCTGTTATCCTAACTTAAATCTCCAAGTTAAAGCTCGAAAAGGATACAAGTGCAAAAAGTTAGAAGTGGCCAAATGTAAGAGAATTGAAGTGTTTTGGTGAGCAAGTGTGAATAGAAGGAGGAAGGCCAATAGACATGCTGACTTGAATAATTAAAGACTCCTAATTGGCTAATTTGGAGATACATTTGATCTTAAAATCACATTTTTTACATGACTTAAAAAGAGATGAAGAAAAGAGTGCAACTTAAAGTTTTTAAAAAATTTTAGATGAGCTGAAAATATCTTGCATCAATTTAATCTCTTTTCTCTCTTGTTACTTATTGCTTTTTAAGTTTAGATGTTGATTTACATTTTCTTGCCTTAAAATTGATGCATTTACTTGTTGATTTCTTAGTTTGAATGTTGTTTGGCTCTACTTTCTCTATTTTTGAGTTCTAATTTTAATTTAATTCATTGAGCTTGCTTTCAATTGTTTTGAGTTGATTTCTTCTTTAGAGCTTGTATTTTACATATTGAAGTTTATGTTCTTAGTTAATTTTAAGTTCTTTCTCTTGTTTGAAGTCCAGATCTAAGTTTTCTTGCAATGCATTTTTAAATTCTGTTTCATAATTTTCTGTTTTAGTTTTTAAATGTCAAGTCTCGTTTCTCTGGTTTTTCATTTATTTTTACTCATTTCCTTATTAGATCTAGGTTGATTCTAGTTCAATTACTTGTTCTATATTGATGCATTTAAATTTTAGGACATTTACATAATTGCTCTATCATCTTCATGTCTGGTTTCCTCAAATTCTCTACATGCAATTTTTTGTTTTTTGTCCTTTGTTATCTAAGTGCCTTAGTTTACATTTCAATTCATGCTTATGTTACTTGTGACAATTTAATGCATTCTAGGTTAGATTATCTTCAATTGCTTATTTGTTCGTTTGCCTTATTTCAATTCTTGCATTTTTCACTTTTAGTTACTTCTATGCAATTACATGCTTTCTTAGACTAGTGTAGTTATTAGATCATTACCTGGTTATTGTTCGGACTAAATATAGTTGGAGATGTTGCCCATTGGAACTTAAATTTAGGTTGTCTCCTAACTCAATCTCCGAGAAAATGATAAGTCACTCATCATTATATTATTTGATACGATTTATGCACTTGCATGTTTACCCATAATCATTAGCCTTCGATGATAAATCCTTCTTTTTCTTCAAACTCTACCCTTTTTTTTCTCTCTTTTCTTTCCTTCTCTTATCAGCGGTGCCCCTTCATTCCTTCCAAACTTGAGCCTTCCCAAGCTTTCTACCTTTAGCCACCAACCACCAGCCAATTGCTGCCATCCACTAGCCTTTCTTATTTTTCTTTTTTCATTCTTCCTTTTACAACTAAAATCTCCCAAAATGAACAAAAAAAAAACCTTAAAACTTGAGACCCTAAAAACCCTATGCCATAAAAACCGTTCACCTTCTTTGATATTCTTTTTCTTTCTTCTTTTCTTCCTTCTGTGCTTTTTAGCAACCTTTGCTCCTTAGCAACATTAGCTACTACCCTTACAACCTTACTTTTTAAACTCTCAATGTGAGGATAACTTAAAAGATGGTTTGTCTTAATCTCATTAAACATAAATTTGCATTATTTTCAACAATAAAAATGTTAGCTCAAAGACTAGAAATAAACCAAAAAGGGGGGTGAATTGGTTGATAGTAAAATTTTTAAAAATTAATACCCAATAAACACAAATTCTGCAAAATAATTTTTCTAAACAAATGAACATAATAAATGAAAGTAAAATAACAATCTTAAAAATAAGAGATAGAGATAGAGAATTTCACACCAAGATTTATAGAGGTTCAGTCCTTCCTTTAGGCACCTACGTCTTCTTTCTTAGCCTCACTTGCCAAGGAGTTCAATTCACTATATGTTAAAAGTTATAATCTAGTTTCTTAAAACTTTACACTATTAACACCACAAACTCTTAAGGGTTATCCTCCCCCTTAAGCTCATAATCTCATAATACAAAGTTTTTGAAGTATTTTGCAAACTTAAAGAACCTCTCTAAGATTGGGTTTAACTTGAAGTATAAAACAATATTGATAAGAGGATTAAGAGAAAAACTTATACAATAAAGGATTTTCTACACTTTTTTCTCTTTGAACTAGTTTGAATGCTTGAAGAAGATGGTTGGTAGAGGCAATAAGTTCTCTTAGCTTTTCATACTCTTGATTTGCAGTGAAAGCCTTCATTTATATGTGAAAGGAGTAGATAGCCATTTGCTTTACATTTAATGCTTCAAACTTATAAAATATCATACAAAAAAATAGTCATTGGGGCTTTCTGGGCATCAGGGGATCTATTGGGTCAATATAGGAAAGCCCATTTTATGCCTTAAAAATGCCTACCCGATCGATCAGGTAACATACCTGATCAATCTTATGCATAGGTGATTGATCCCCTGTGTGGGGGGATCGATCCTTTTTGATGATTTTTTACCCAGGTTTACATTTTGTATAAAAAATAGATCAATCCCTTTAAGGGGGATCAATCAGTTATGTTCAAAACCCCAACCAATTGATCCTTATAGGGAGGGGATCGATTGGTTCTTGATGAATTTCCAGAAGTTTGGCTTTTGAAAGAAAAATAGATCAATCCTTTTGGTCAGGGGATCGATTAGGTAAGGCAAGAGATTGATCTTACCCCTTAAGGGATCAATCCTTTCTATCCAAAGCATGCCTTAACTCATTTTGTTTTTAGAATTTGTTTTGTTTTGGTTCCTAAATGAATTTTGGCAAGATAGAAAGTTGGAAAAATATTTAATTTGATATTAGAAAAGTTTGATTCAAGTTAGGCAAATTTTTGTTTTGTCTATTCAAATTTTTATTAATTCAAAGCTAACAATCTCCCCATTTTTTATATGACAAAACCAAGTGAAAATTTTGCTTAAAAAACATTTTTCCATTTGAAAAATAAGCTCCCCTGAATTTAAGCATAAAAAATTTTAAGAGATTTTAAACAACTAAGAACAAGAATATAACCATTAATGTCAATATCATCAAATAAAAGCTTTTCATCAAAACAATATCAAGAATTTTTCATACCGACAATATCAAGATCATCAATCAAATAAGAATTTTTCATACCATTTCCTCTCATCCTTTTTGTCATAGCAAAAAGGATGAAGTCAATCAAAGGAAGATGACAATCAATTCAATGCCATACCAACTCAATTTCACAACTTAAGTTCATACCAATCTTAATGTCAAATCATCAAGCAATATACCAATTTCAAAAGCCAAATTTCAAAGTGATATAGCAAATATCATAATGAAGATGAAATGTATATTTCATTAATATAAACATCAAATACCAAAGTTTGATAAGAAAACATAATGCAAAGTGTTTTTAAGGAAAATTTACAACATAAAAAAAAAAGATGTGGGAAAACATCTAAGAAATGGTATTAGGATGGATCATTGAGGAAGAGGTGAAGAATGAGAAAAATAAGGAAAGTGCTACCCCATTTGCTATTGTGCATTCTGGATATGTTCAATATCAACTCTAACTTGGCAAAGTTGGAAAAC